AAAATGCCGATTGTTTTGTGTTGCATTATTTTGGATGGGTCAAAGTATTTTGTCAGGCATTCTGTACATAAGAATTTACACAATAATATATATAATATTAATATACTAAACGTTTTATTAATTCACGTGTTTGAAGCAATCTTTTTAATGTTTTTAATTATTGATTGATATAGTCTCTAAGACTTGTTTTTGTTTGAACATTTTTTTTGGTTAAAATCATTGTTGTTTTGCTTTAATAATTAAACTTATTTAAATTATTTAATAGTGACCTAACCTTAAATATGATTCGGTGGCCCAATGTTAGCTTTTTAGRAAATCATTAAACGAATCAACATCTTGTTCATCCTGGTAAATTGTATTGTTTTTCTTATTAAAAAATGTATATTTTAGTATCATATTATTATGTAATTAGAAATTCAAGATATATAATATATTTTATGCTAAATAAATAATTTTATTTGATAAAATTGTGCATAAGTGCAACAACTATCAAAAACTAAGCTATTTGACTCCCTTACTGACCATCAGTGGCCTAGTTCAAAGCCAAATTTATTAGCTACATGACAAGTAAAAGATTCCCCAAATTGGTTATACACACACCTTCACACCATGGTATACATTTGTTTTTTTTGTAATAAAAATAATAATGCAGGACTATTAGGGTTAATATTGTAATTGAAAAAAAATACAATGTTTAATTGGATATTGCATTATAAATATTTAACTTTACCTATATTATATTATATAATATACAAATACGTATAAAAAGAAAAATATTTTAATACATTATTGGATTAATCAGGATGATTAGAACAATATAATTAACTTTTTACAAGGTGTTCACCTATATATGTCCTATTTCGATTGGACACCGCCCTCGCTACAGCTGCCATGGCAAGCATAATAACATTACTCTCGGCGATATAATTACTCTCCTCATATAAATATACTTGAGTAAAAATAGTTTAGAGTAAACACTATTTATTACGTAGATTATACTGTGGGTTTCGCTTTCGGCAATTCTTACTCACGAAATCAAAAATAGATTAGATATAGTATACCAATAAATATTAAATGAGAGGATTAAGTAGTTATATACTTATATTTCAACAATTAATTTTCATGAAATATGACAATACCACGTCACAATTATTATGTGAAGTGTAAAAGAAATTTTTTGGACATGATTATTCTCAGGTTTCAACTTAAATTGATTTTTAATCCATTAACTAGAGATTGATAATATAGCTTTATGTACCTACTTATCGATGGACGAATGTGCATCGAAATCGATATGTCAAAATAAAATATTATGACCTTGTATAATAAGAATACAATGATAGTTGTATGATTTAAAGGCGCGGAGTTAGTTGATTATTTTTGATGTAATACCTATTGGCTATTGTAGAATTATTTTAGGCAAATACTATATCATATAGCCAGTACTGATTTAAATATTTTTTGAATTCAAATAGGAAGTATTTAATTTGTAACTTAATTGAAAATTGTCACGCAGCTAACAATAATGGATAATATAAATTTATACTTGAGAATATTCTATGGCAGTACCAATTTGTATCTATATTTTTATTTTCTATCACTAATGTAGTAATGTATTACCAAACATAAAATATACAAGTACATATAGGGTGAAAAATAACTAAAACTTACACAATCCGCTTACTTGTACATAGTTCCAAAAATTTATATTAAATTATCTTTGACGTTCAAGACTGTAATTATATACCTTAAGATTTTTAAAAACAAAATTTCAATTACCTAGAAAATAAAATATGTTTAATATTCAAATGATTGTTAACCCACTGTTAGTTTAAAATGAGTACAAAAATATTTAAACAATATTTAATAACGTATATTACTGTTGTAGACTGTAGTTGATTTCCGACCTGAAATTTCAAATTTGCGACCTGAATCGTGACGTGAGAGAATTAGAGGAGGTCAATGACATCAAATAAAAATTATGTATAATATTACAAGAGACATAACTAGCTATTTAAAAGCAATAGATTTTGTTAATTATACCTTTAACCATGTTACAATAAATAAATGAACGAAATAAATTATATCTACCTGATGTACGAGACAGTAAGAGTATATATTATTGCATGAAAAGAAAAGCTATTATTATAGTATTAGTAAAATAGAAATTTTTACTTGATCATGACGAAATATATCATAATTTTTCTCAAACGATAAAATTCTAAGAATACAGATAGAATCTAGTACCCGGTCATTGTGCAGACATATTTGTAAAATATTGAATTAAATCTAACACCTGTTCTCTGTTCAGCGAGAGAACATTACAAGGATCGACGAGAATCGGTTTTTTTCCGGGCATCCCCACGCGGCACCCTGTCTTAGGTGAACCGTTTGTCGTTGCTGTCGTGACGTGGGGGAGGGGGACGCCGAAAATCGGCATGTTCTTTTGCCGAATCGAGTATATTTATATATTTTTTTCCTCATTTGTAAGGTCGAAGCATATCTGCATTAGGTCAGTGTTCATGGCGTAACTAGTTTAACCCGTTGTTTTACCTAAGGTTAATCATTTTATAAATATAGACTATCTGGGCTGCTKGGCATTAACGATTTACAATGTTACTAAGTTAAGTTGCTTTAACTAAGTCAAATAAAGATATGCATTAAAATAAAAACCATACCTACTACGCTGCTCAACATTTTTACTCTACAAGGAAAATGTATATTAAAAAGTTTAAAAAGTTTTTGTTAAGAAGTAACTATGACAACGAAAATCTTACGAAAAATCGGTCAGAAACAAATTTGAAATTACGTGTATTTAGCCCAAAAACATATTTTTTTAAAGCGTAAACTTTAATTAATTAAATAGGCCACATTAACAATGTTTTGTGTTTCGTATAAATTTTTTATGATTCATTTTGAGAGTAATTAAAAACTTTGTTTATAGGTTCATCACCATAGAAATGCAAATCAAAAAATTAAAATTAAAAATTTAATTTATTTAATTTCTTACAAAATCTAGCATGCTATTAAATATTTTTGCACTTTACTATACTCAAAACATATCAATTGCTTCTAAATTTCACTTGCAGAGAAAATATTTCTAGTAGCATAATACTTAATATAATATATATTATACGAACGAAATTTTTTAGTCATGATTATACTTATGTTACCACAGTTGTTTACATAGGTTTATACAATTATACACTATATAATATTTATCCAATTTATTGGCCTGTTGAATATTAAGGTTTGTAGTAAACTATTAGCGCTTTAAATATCTATCGATCTGACCGTAACACGCACACCATAATGAAAATTATGCATTTTCATGTATGGTGTATAAACGATTGTATATTATAAGCATGCTAAACATTTTAAACACTTAAATATTATAAATTGAACAATATTATTGAATTCAAATATAACTATATAGGTGTTTCTGCTTTTAAATTATGATAATTAATTATGATATTATATAGTTATTAATTTATTATACAATATAAATATTTGATGATATTCCTATTTTTAACTATGCAATTATTAGTAGGTACCTATACCAATCGGCAGATATTACGAACATATAATAATCGTATACTATGAAAAAATCAGAAAAATCAAAATAAATATTTGCCATATTATACTGGTTTGCAATTGAAATATTTGTACTGTTTATAATAAAAGAATTAAAAAACAGAATTCTAGTAACTTTAAAATTTTATTTTCAGGAGGTCTTAAAATTTTTTCAAATACAAGGCTTACATAATTTTAATAAATCGTCATTTTTAAGCTACCTACCTAGTTAAATTTTAATAATATGTTAAAAACAGAAAAATAATAGTAACTATCAATCAAAATGAATATATAATATACGATTTATAGATATAGCATATGAATAATAATAACTATTTCAGACATTTTGCTGTATTTTGAGATTTTTTTAATTATTTGATAAAAATGCATACAACGCATGTAAATACTTTCATTTTATATTTTCCTTGTATCATGTAAAATTGTTGAAAAATATCATTTGAATACCTGAATGTATAGGTACCTATTGTCCAAAAGTTAAGATTTAGATTTTTATTATATATTTATGGCAAAGTCAAGCAAACATCAAAATATCAAAATTCACCAAGTCACTCATATAGTTTCTCGTATAGGTTGATATAAAAATCGTTCATATTCATTTTTTTCTTTCGTAAGTATTTTTCTTTTAATCAGTTTTATGTTTTCGCTAATATTACTTTAAAAATCAAAGACTAATTGTAATGGCTATTATTATTTTGTGGTTCGATTTCTTTGCCTCTTACTAATGGCTTATATTGGCTAATTATAATAATATGTTTCTACCTATACAATATCTTTAGCTATAATATTAATTATGAAAATTGTGATTTTCCAATTGAATGATTAGTCAGTTCAATTATTAGCAGTTCTACTACATTATTATACACGCTTATAGTCTATTTTTGTGTAACAAGTTTTATTAACAATATAAAAAAAAATTGTTTTATAATTAATTACTTAGTGTACTTATTAGGTATAAAAACATTTTAAAACCATTTATTGTATTATTAACAATGGAATTATTGTTAATTGGATTGAATCCACCAAATTTTTACTAGTATAAATTGCTAAAATAAGGGTATGACAATTAAATAATTGGATTCATGCCCTAAACGGTTCGAAAGTGTATTTATAAAATATTTTATTAATGCTTGTTTATTTTATTCATATACCATTAAATTTCAGCCGTTCTATTATTATTATTATTACTATTATTATTATTAGTTTAGTTGTAAGGTGTATGAGTGTGCGTGGGACAAAGATTCTAGCATGAACGCGCCCTTCTTAAAACCTAGAAAGCTTCATTGGCATGACAGTGTAATCGCCTATTCCGCACACAAACAGTCCAGCTATCTGACAGATATATTCGTTAGAAGCCGCTTCAAATATCTTCTTTTTTTTTCGTTTTCATAAAATCAAACAAAAATACAATGCCCAGTGGACGTCCTTTGTGGCAGGTAAATTACAATATATATTTTAATGATTTAATAATAATAAAACACACATTTTTTTTTTATATACAATTAACGAACCTCAAGTTAGTTATCAATTTTATATGATCAAMATTATTTACTATTATTACACACAGGATTTAATCGTGGAATAGTTATTTGAATTACATAATTAGTTTACAAGTGGGTAGGTAGTTGATAAGAGTTTTATAATTTTAATAATTTAAGAAACATTCATTTGATTCAGTTTAATTTAAAAACCATATATAGGTTATATCCCATATACAGGTTGTCTCGTGAGGATTTACCCATTGCGATATCTCACGAAATAATGGAGATATCAAAATTCTGGTTTTATAATAAGATTCATAGTGTTAAGAACTACAATAATTTCAGTTTTAGATTTATTTTAATGTTTTTGTGAAAAATTTAAAAAATATATTTTTTTATTTAATTATTTCCAAACAAATTAATGATAGCTATTTTGTAGAGTTTATTTTTCTGAAAATATTGATGTTTCAAAATTTTATTTCCATTAATTTCCTGATTTTTGATATTTTTTCTAGTTTTGAAGAAATAAAATATGATAATTAATTTATAACTATTAGGAACACGGAAAGTAATTCAGCCGACCGTATGGGAATGCGCGCGGCGCGGTGTGTCACATGTTTGATAACATTATGGTGTTAATAATTCACAATTTTTCTCGAAACTGAAAAAAAATATTAAAAATCAGGAAATTAATGAAAATAAAATTTCTAAACGTCAATATTTTCAGAAAAATAATCTCTAGAAAATGGCTATCTTTAATTTTTTTGTAAACAGTTAAATATAAAAATATTTTTTTAAACTTTTTTACCAAAAAATTGAAATAAATTAAAATATAAAACAATTGTAGTTCTTACCCTTGTGAGTTTTATTACAAGACCAGAATTTCGATATCACCATTATGTTGGGAGGTATCGCAATGGGTAAATCCTCATGGGACACTCTGTATAAGTATAGAGTAGTTTTGAGTGTTACAAGTTTGTTTTGGTCTTACATTTTTAACTGACAGCTGTTTTTTATATTTAATAGATTTTCAAACAATTTACTACATATTGTAAAAAATTTGTATATAAGTTAAGGGCACCTTGTAGAAATATAAACTGACTAATTTATGAGAAGGGGGAGAGTCAAAAATCATTGATAGCACCGATATACTATTATTTTTATTTTTAAAAGTGATAAACTAATTGATATTAATTAAAATAGGAGTGACAGCATATCTATGTAAGAAGTTTTAGCAAACTGTCGTTTAAAATTATTTCATAGTTTATTATTATTTAATTAAAAAGTCTGGTTTTGCTATGGAATAATTTTATTTTTTAGGTATTTAGGTTCTAATTAAGTATGTTATTATAATAATGTGTATAAAATATATTGTAAAGTACGTATAATATTTAAAATTATTGTGTTTCTGAAATTTCTAGTTAAGTATAGTTCGTAATTCATAGAAAATCAACACTGCTAATTCATCATATAGTAGATATTCCTATTTTAATTTTATATTATTCTAATAAGAATTTGTATACAAAATATTTTGTTATAAACAACTTTGGAATAATGCTGATTAAAATAGTGGCATTAGAAATTGTTATAAAATATATACTTAGATATCTATATTCAAACTTTGTTCAATTCGTTACTTAATACTAGGTATAGGTTATGGTATTCAACACTTAAATATTCTCATCATCAATCAAACCTTAGGTTAGGTTATTATGCCCGAATAATGGTAATAAATACTAATTTCTCCTATTACTATATTATATTATTATAACCTATATACCAATAGCAACCATTTATAGACAAACATCACTTAACGAGATAACAACTGTTCTATATTTTAGGTTGGTTAAAATCACACACATTGAGTATAATATTATCAAAATCCGTTGAGTATTTTTGGAGTGCATTTTACGCAAACTCGTTGTATGCGTGATTTTTATAGATATATTAAAATATTTTTAGGAACAGTAATAATTTAGCAGTACTTAGCTAATCGTATAATTACAATAAAATTAATATGTTATTGATGCATTTATCAAAATTATTTCTCTAAAGTATTTTTAAATAAAAAAATTTCTAAAACGACTAAAACTGATATATTATAAAATGTGTACAATTGAATTATTCTATAAAATTAGAATTACTGAATAAATAATTTCAAGAGATAATGTAGGGCAATATTCCAACTGTTGAAAATTTTACAAAATATGATGGAATACAAGTTCAAGTATAAATGTATAATATGTTGTTAAATATGTATTTGCAATTTATTCTAAAAAATGGTTTTAATATTTATTAAGAAAAAATTAATAAGTTCGTTTTGAATAAAATTAGTTTAAACCTAATGTCTTATTAATTTAATAGTTGAGTTAATATTTTGATTGCTTGTTGACGTTTCATATATTACAATATATGAGCATTAATTTCCAATTTTAACCAAGTAATTATTTAAAAATTTTATATTTATATTTATCAAGGGATGCATTAAAATAAAAATAAAAAAAATTAAGATATTTATTTAATGTGATATATCAAAGATATATTTAAAGTTTATTTTAACTTAAAGTTATGCACAAAATTATAATTATTTTTTTAATTTTTATAAAATTAATTTAATTGTTTGAATTACTGATTATAAGATTCTACAACAATGTTATTGATTATCTAAATAATGAAATTGTTATGAATATGTTAAAGCAAAGCTAATTATGATTTAAGTATTATTAAAATACATAAAAACTCGATCAATCATAATAGTGTTTAAACCGTATAAATGCAGAGCTTACCTGCATTGAATACTTGTCTTTTAGGCAAGATTAATCTTTATTCTATATCATATTTAATTTTAATAGATGTATTTATAGTTTAATGTGTTACTTTTTTAAATTCAAGGCCACGTTCGCTAGACTATTTTATCACACTCATCACGTCTAATAAACTAATAAAGTGTCTTAGGTACACCATAACATCTTAAGAATATATTTTCATAATCATCGGTAGAGGGGAAAGCCAGTCAGTTAGACTGATGTAGTATACTTGTCATTAACGATCTAAATATAAAATCAAGTATATTCTTCAGTTTAATTCAGTTCAAGGTTTTTATAAATCGACCAAAGGATAATTTTAGGCTTTTTTGTTTATGTTGTTATCTCAAATGTCTATGTTACCAGCTGCAGTGGTAAAAGGTATTTACGAACAACCAAGATTTACATAACATTATGTATGGCGTGGGATAAGTGATCACTGTATTATGGTTAGTTTCTTAATTGTCATTACACGTGTTGTTACTTATTTATAAATAATAACATTTTGATCAAAATACACGTATTATGCGTGGTGTAACCTTAGGTAATGCTATACAGGCCAGTCGTTGATATATGAGACTCCTTGTTATATATAAATTATAAAGATATAAATGTGTGTGAGTATGCCAATTCAATGAATTTTTCGTTCGATATTATCGGATTTTATTTATATGAAATAAATAAACCCTCGGTTGGCAAGGAATCAAATACGTAGGTATATACGTGCCACGTCGAAGGTCCTCTACAAAGAAAAAGGGGTTCAGGTTTTATTAAATGTTTCCCTGCAAATAGAACTTGGATCTTAGTCAATTTTTGATAACCATTAAAAATATGATTTAAAAGATTTTGATTACGTGTGACGGTTGACTATAAAAAGAATAATAACAATAAAAAATATGTTTATTAAGAAACGATGTATAGTGCTCACAATGTGCAAATTTTATAATCATTATTAAAATATGTATGTAACTTAAAACGATCATTAAACCATTTTGAAACTATTTTAATGTCTATTTTAATATCTCATATTTAACAAAAATCTTTCACTAATGATTTTTTTCTCTTGTCTATTTGACATATAATTCTTTTGCAATTTATTACCTTAATTTTAAACTCGTAAGCCACAGCCCACAATGGTACAAACAAGCTTAACAGTCCATCAGACCATTATTATTTATTTAATATTTAAAGATGATATGATGTGATTCGTAAAATATTTCGAGCAATTTTCAGAATTTGCATACAACTTAGTAATTTGGAGATTATTTTTCAGTTTTTATTTTGTATTTGAAATACCTTTGACTATTTTTTTTTTTTATTTGCAGTTTAAAAATCTTCAGTAGAACTTAATTTTATAAACATTAATTAAGTTATTTTAATTTTACATTATAAATATCAAAATGAAAAAATGAAAAATTTAATGTACTCAAATAGTAGATAAATATATTCTTTAAATTTCTAAGTGACTTTAGTTTTTTAATTACAAGT